CTACCACAGAGTTTCACACATTAAAGTTTATTCATATATTATTCATAATAGCAAGATAACAGATTAATTCTAGATGTCTGTAGTGATATATTATTTATGATTTTTTAAAAAAATGACTGAGGATTCAGAAAAGCAAAGTCAGCCTCAGGCTACCGAGATTGGGCAGTGGTGACACACACCTTTAATCCCAGCAGCCAGAAGCTAGGAGGTGGTACACACCTTTAATCCTAGGACTCAAGATTAAGAGATAGATGGATGTCTGTCAGTCCAAGGCTACCCAGATCTACACAAGAGTAAATCAGTCTAAAAGAGAATTATAGCTCACACCTTTAGTCCCAACATTAGGGAAGCACATAAGACACAAGCAAGGTCTCAGAGAGGCTTTTCATTCTCCAGCCATACTAAATATAGGGACATTCATCCTCTAGCCAGACTGAGGAGAGGCAGCAGTTTGAGACTTAGTGAAGAGCTCATGCATGGATCACCCCCTTTCAGCCTGATATGGAGGTAAGAGCAAGTGGCCAGCTGCTTTTCTTTTCTGATATTCTGCTTGAAGCTTAAGCCTCAATATCAGTCTCTGGGTCATTTATTTTTCATGTTACAGATGTCCATTAACAAAAGCATGGTCAATGAAAACATGGTATAATTACTCAATGAAATTTTTATTCCACTTTAAAGAAAAACATAATCCAGTCTTAAATTTTTTATATAAGGAAATATGAGTATTTAAAAAGGTACTGTAAACTTAAAGAAGAAAAAAGGATTCAAGGAAGAGGGTAGGGAAAGTAACAATACAAGTGACATGTAAGTGAAAAGGGGACTATTGGGGTAGAGAGGTGAGTGGGTAGGGAATAGGAGTTGGAGCATGAAGTATGGTCAATACAGAAGTATTGTGAAATGGCACAGTGAAACCCAATATCTTATATGCTAACAAAAATTTAAAAAGCTCCAATGTCTCAGCCATAAACTTCAGGAACAATACATTTCTGTGGTCTGACTTAGTTCCTTATCAGGAGATAGAGTCCCATCTCTACAAAACTGTAGACTCTGTAGACGATACTCTTTCAAAAGTGTACAGTCAGCTACACCTCTCTGGGGTGAACACCAGAAAGATGAACATGTCCCAGTATGTCTGCTCCCTGGAAGAGCTCTTTCCTTTACCTGGTGGAATATTCCCATTTGTACTTGCAACAAAGAAATATCTGCCCCTGGGATAAACATAGTTTAATTAATGAGAGATTTTTTTCTTCATTTTCTTGAATTCACCTTAACTGCCTCTTTAAAGAAAAAAAAAGGAATCTTTTAATTGCAACATAATTAAAACCCTTTCCTCTTCTGTTTCCTTCTTTCTAACACTGCCATTTATTCCTTCTTGATGATTTTCAAATTCATGGCCTCTTTGTTCATTACCAAATTTATCTCTCTCTCTCTCTCTCTCTCTCTCTCTGTCTCTCTCACACACACATACACACACACATACACAGATGTACTAGTTATAAATTTATCAATTAATGTATATATAAATTCCTAAATATATAAGTACAACCTGCTCAGTCTATTTAATTGTACTTGCATACATGTTTTCAGGGCTAATCATTTGGGGTTGGATAACACTTGATATGTTCTTTCCCAATCTCAGCTTTTGTTGAAGAAAATTTTTTATCTTTGCCACTGACATATAGTCAGTCATTAATCCAATTTCTAACTTTCTGTGCTCTTTACTTAGGTAAAGGACCAACATCCTGTGAAGTGTTGAGAGGCACCATCTGCAATAAACTCCATGTTTAGATTTCATTAAATGGTAGAGCTGGATTCATATAAGAGTTAAATAAAACAGCTGGCAACTTAGCATTGTAAGGACAAATTTGAAAGATTTTAAGTCACTATCTCACAAAGCATGATGATTTATGATAAAGGTCAAAACTTTGTATTTAAAGAAAACAACAAAAAGTATAAAAATAATGCCAGTATTCCATTTTTTTCCTTTTTTATTGATTTATTATTTTACATTCCAATACCAGTTCACTCTCCCTCCTTTCTTCCCACTTCCTCCTCTACCCTCCTCTTCCTTCCATCTGCTCCATGGACAGGGTAAGACCTTCCAAAGGAAGTCTACTAAGTCTGACCCATCATCTAGCTGAAATGCTAGTATTTCTTAACAGTAGTGTTACTGATAGAAAGTTGTCATCAAAAACCTTGAGTAGATTTAAAAAATATAAAAGAAACTTGAAAATACAACCATTTCCTTTCTGACAAACCTCTTGCTATCTGGGTCCTCTTCTGGGTATATCATTTATTATTGACATGCTCATTTCAAATATTTATGGTTAAACTCAGTTAAAACATTTTGTACCATACTGTGCTTTTAAATTATGCTGTAATCTTTTTTATTTAGTTTTTATTTCTTGTTTTATTTTTCTTTCTTCTTCCCTCATATAGTACATCTTGACCACAGTCTTCCTTCCTTTTCCTCCTCCCAGTCCCCCAAACCTCCCCTCTTTTCTAGATAACTACTCCTCCCATTCCCTTCAGAAAAGGGCAGACATCCCATAATATCGTCAGATAACTGAAATAAAAAGAAGCAGGAAAACTAGGCATAAATCATCATATCAAGCATGGATAAGGTAAACAGTAGGAGGAAAAAGTTCCCATAAGCAGGCATAAGAGTCACAAATACCCAAACTCCCATTGTTAGGAGTCTCCCAAACTATAAGCTAAACAACCATAGCATGTATGTAGAGGCCCTAGCTCAAACCTGTGCAGGCATCAAACAGTTTGAAGTTTTCAATTGATTAGAAATCTGTTTGGACAGATACAGATTATAGACAGAGTAGGTAAGATTGATGGAGGAGGAGGACCTAGCCCATTGTAGGTGTAGTTACCCATGGGCAGCAGGTCATGAGTGCAAAACAAAGCACAGTGAGCAGATATAGGGGCAAGCATTCCTCCATGAACTGTGCATTAGCTTCTACCTCCAGGTACCAGCCTTGCTTGAAATCCTGCCCTAATTTGATTCAGTGGTACACTGTTACCTGGTAATGTAAGGGATATAGACATTTTTTGGAGGGGTGGACTGCCAGATCACAAATAGTGACTTGGAGACTTATTAATTATGAAAGCTCAGCCTTAGCTTAGGCTTGCTTCTAACTAGTTCTTACAACTTAAATTAACCCATAATTTTTTTATTAGTTCATCTTAGGAACAAGCTTGCTTCACACATCAATCCCTTATCCCTGTCCCTCCCCTTCCACCAACCCCCACCAGACCCCCACCTTATCACCTCTCCATTCCCCAGGGAGAGTAGGGCCCTCTAAGGGGGCTCTCCAAAGTCCATCACCTCATCCTGGGCCGGGCCTAGGCTCTCCCCCATGTGTCCAGGCTGAGAGAGCATCCCTGCACGTGGGATGGGCTCTCAAAGTCCCTTCTTACACCAGGGAAAAATAGTGATCCACTGTGAGGGGCCCCATAGAGTGCCGAGGCCTCCTCATTGACATCCACATTCAGGGGTCTGAACAGCAGTCTGGGTTCCATGTGCTCCCCATTGTTCAGGCCAGCTGTTTCTGTGGGTTTCACTAGCCTGGTCCCGACCCCTTTGATCTTCATTCTTCCCTCTCTGCAATTGGGTTTCAGAGTTCAGTTTAATGTATAGCTGTGGGTATCTGTTTCTGCTTCCATCAGCCACTGGATGAGGGCTCGAGGATGGCATACCAAGTAGTCAGCAGTCTCATTATAGGGGAAGGGCAATTAGGGTAGTCTCTCCACCATTGCCTAGATTGTCAATTGGTGTCATCCCTGCAGATCTCTGGAAATCTCCCTAGTGCCAGATCTCTCCTCTGACCTATAATGGCTCCCTCTGTTATGGTATCTCTCATCCTGCTCTCCTCTATTCTTCCCCTGACTCAACATTTCTGTTCCTCTTTTACCTCTCCTAGTGCTCCCAATTAGCTCAGGAGATCCTGCCCCTTCCCATTCTCTAGGGGGTCCATGCATTTTTCTCTTAGAGTCCTTCTTGTTTCCTAGTTCCTTTAGTGATGAGGATTGTAGGCTGATAATCCTTTGCTCTCTGTCTAAATTTCATATATGAGTGAGCACATACCATGTTTGTCTTTCTGTGACTGGGTTACCTCACGCAGGATGGTTTCTTCTATTTCCATCCATTTGCCTGCGAATTTCAAGATTCTGTTGCTTTTTTCCACTGAGTAGCACTCCATTGTGTAAATGTACCACATTTTCTCTATCCATTCTTCAGTTGAGGGGCATCTAAGTTGCTTCCAGGTTCTGACTATTACAAATAATGCTGCTATGAACATGGTTGAATAGATGTCCTTCCTGTATGAATGTGCATTCTTTGGGTATATGCCCAAGAGATAAATTGCTGGATCTTGAGGTAGACTGATTCCCATTTTCCTGAGAAACAGTTTTAAATCTGTGTTCCATCAGACATCTTCCTTACAGGTTTCTCTGTCTTCCTGGAAGTCCCACCTATAATCGCCTGCCAAACTATTGGCCATTCAACTTTTTATTACTCCAATCACAGGAAGCATTGTCACACATCAGGAAATATTACATTGCAATAACATTTTCTTCTCGGTTTTATGGCACAGGTTTCATAAGCTAATAGGTGAAAATAGCTTGGGGAAGTAAGTGTGTGATTGGAGGGAAAATGGGAAGGAAAGAATGATGGGAAATGTACTGTGTATGTTAATCTTATTGATTGTTAAATAAAATACTGTTTGGCCAATAAGACAGCAAGTTAGACAGGAATAGGAATCAAAGAGGATTCTGGGAAATGTAGTAGAGAAGTGGTGAGTGGTGATCCAGGCAGGAAGTGACATAGCAAGGAGACTCATATTTAATTGAATGAGAAACAGGAAGGGTCCTTTTTCCCCTTGCTCCTCCAGCAGCATAATGTGATCCACCAGCAAGAAGGGATGCCAATAAGGCGTCCGATAAGATAAGTCTTATAAAATATATAGATTTATGATAATTAAAACTGAGCTAGCAGATGAGAATCCTAGTCATTGGCCAAGCAGCTTTGAACTTATAACAAGTTTCTGTGAGTTCA